GGACTAAAAATAAACATAGGAAATTAAAATTGTGTATCTGGTTAAAAACCCTGTATCTTTATAAAAAACAGCATCACAAAAGCTGGAGTGACTCTTGATTTCATGCCTCTGCTGCAAGAGAGCAGTGACAAGACCTGAATCCCTCCTGACAACAGGGTTTCCAGGATCGGGAGGATACAGAAACCTGCCTCAGTTCTTCAAGCAGTGGCTTTAATTGCTTTCTTTTTTTCCTATTTTTTATGTACACTGAGACTAAATTATTTACTTTAGCTCAGGCTTGCAGAGTGTATTTTAACACATCACTTTACTTTCCCTCTCTGACATAAGCATCCCTAACACCTTCAAGCTTTTCTCATGACTCCTGCTCYCCAGGCTCTGACAGCTCTTGTCACTCCCTCTGCACTTCTAGGAAGTTCACATTTTCTAGCAGCTTCTGGCAAGTGGGAGTTTCCAAGGTTGCAGCTGTAGACACTTGCTGCAGAATTTCAACATCAATTATAACTACTGTCCACTCATGTAGGAATAAAATGCCTCAACAGGTTATTAACACAGCTGGAAGGAAATCAGAGATCCTCTTCTGAAGTGCTGATTTCCAACAAGCAGTGAACACGTAACTTAGCCCTGAGGTGGTCAGTAAGGGAACACAGGAGGCAACACAGAGCAGTGAGCTCAGAAGCCTTCTAGCAGGACAAGGTAWGACCACCTCTACTTCAACAGAAGTCCCCCAATCCCTAATTGAGTGATAAAAAAATCATACACCGATACCACATATGGTAGAGGCTGGATTTGAACTRGCTGCAGAGTGGCAAAACACTCGTAAATTCACCAGCACTCACGTCAGTTATTTACTTCTAAGGAACCCSTTCCTCCAAAATATGAATTGTTAAATTATATTGAAAGAAAATACTAAATCTCCATCAGGCTCACTGGTTTCACTGCATTTTTTACTGCTGTATTTTGACACAAGTGTATGGTGGAATAATTATCAATAGCACGAGATATTTAGTTACTAAAATTAGTATGAAGTCCCTGGTGTTATTTTTTAAATAGATCGTTATTTTTGTAGATCTACAATAACCTGCAGAAAAAAAAAAAATGTCCTCAAAAGCTCCTTCTGTGCTAAGATCACATAACAGAAAGCAGAACTCTAGAGTTTAATTCCTATCAATCAACAAAATGAGTTTCACACTACTCCCAGCCAGAGGAGCTAATATACACAGTACCACMGGTCACCAGAGAAGAGCTTAAAATAAATCCAAGAGTGGGTGAGTATTGCTACATCCCCTCTATTGTTCTTCTAATTTTACAAAGCCCCAGTAATTGAACCAATTATTAGGGGCACGTTAGTTGTTTTACTGATCCTAACACCTTTCATCAAGCTTGGGCAGCTCCGAGGTGCTGTTCACACACAGGGCTGGCCCTTGGAAACACTTTGCTGCTGCTATGAGCCCTGGATGTCCCCCAGAACAGAAAAAACATTTGAGCAGCTTTTTGAACAGAGGACAAATAAAAAGGAGATGTCTTTAAAAACACAGGCCCCCGAGGCATCTCGGGTTTCCCCCTCTGCAGAGAGCACAGAAGATTGCTTATCTTGGCTCCAGAACAGATTGATGTGTTCAGCCGGAAGGTTCACTATAGCTGACAGAGAACATTTCCTTCATCGTATTGCTTCACCRTGCGAGGAGATAACTCAGGCTAATAATATTCTGTCTCCTTTTTATCCTCCCATAGCCTACGCATAACTTAATTCGTAATTCCAAAGGGCTCGCAGAGGAGATTGGCCTGGTGCTAGTTTCATTTACACACATATAAATCAAAGCTCAGACTGGAATAGATGGCACTGCACTGGTGTTAAAATATAAAATCCTCAGCAAGGCCAGAAAATGCTCCCTCAGCTCTCCTGATCATAAATACCATGTTATCCTAGATTCAGTCACACCCTCCAAATTTCTCAACATTGCATCCATTTAAATTTGCATGTAAATAGAAGCTATCCTGAGTCACAAGAAATACAGCTTTGCCTACCCAGAAAGCATTAGTGCAAATGTAAACCAAGCAGAAAATGGCAGAGTGGTAGAAACTTGGCATCCGTGGCAATTATCTTTACATCTAATGAATTGTGTCCCCGTTTCTTAGTAACTAATTACAGTGGAACTGTTTAGAGAAAAGAAACTTGTGATGTGCCTGAAAGAACCGACACAGGACACTGAACCAGCACCGCATTAGTTCACAGTGTCAGATACCCACTCACAACCTCCTCCTGGTACCCAAAACYGCAGGATTAGGCTTTTGAACCTTGCAGGAGCCTTAAATTACCCCAGGCACTATGGACTGAAAGGCTACCATTTCAGGATAGGAACAAGCTGTGTTCCTAGATCCTCACCCCCAGGCAGTAATCCCCAGCYACACAGGAAACCCCACTGCCTGCAGGCACCTGCCTGACTGTGACTCCYAGCTGCATGAAAGCCCTCACTATTCTGCTCTAACTCAAGCACACATAGCTGCTTTCAGAAAGCCCACATTATTATTCTGGTTTTGAAGAAGGAACTGCAGAAAGCTGAATCAGAAACTTTGAAAACTGCTAGCAAGACCCTGGTTTCATTTACCCTAATCTATCACCACATTTCATCACCAATCTCATACCTGCTCCAAGCTCCCAGCACTGCGCCACCTCTGCCCCCTCCATTAAGATATAAAACAAGGGTTAAGTGACAGATAGTATCAACGTGGAGAGCAATCTGTCTCACTCAGAAACCAATGCACCRAGAATAAAGAAAGAATTATTATCCTGGTGTCAATATGATAAATTACAGGCTCTTTTTCCTAAAGAATTTCTACTTTTTCAGCTAGCACAGAAAACTCTTCTCCTTTTAGCACTCAACATCAGAGCAGTTTCTTCTGACATCCTGTTCAGAGACTCTGCTAATGAAATTGTTTATTYTGGTGGATGGCTGATGCCGTTAGTAACTACAGCACTCATCTTGGAATAAACATGAACTGAGAGCCAGTGATAGGAATTCCAACTGTTCCTTCCATACATTTGTTTCCAAAACATAAATAATTTTGAAAGCTCTGCCACTCGCCCTTGTTGAAGTGAACAAAATGTTTAGGGAAAATCAGTTTTCAGTGTTTCCTTACACCATACAGGTTAGACAATCCCATGTGCCAAACCCATRAAGTTTGTGGTCACATTTCCCTCTGACAGCAGYGAGTTCACAGCCRTTGCACCAGACAAAACAGGACRAGGAGGAACTGGGAGAAATAACCTCCTSATCCAMMAT